GTCGGGCGGATTCGGGGCCGTGGAGCCGGAGTCAAATTCTATGTTCTGAGCTGATCCCTTGTTCCCAACATCCAGTTGCACCTGGCATGGAGCTGCCCTCTCCATCTCTCTCCAGGCCTAGGTCACACAGCCAGCATGCTGGATTGTAGCAGGGGGAACAGACAGGCCCCCAACCTTGTTGCCTCAGAGAGCCTCCTGCTTCCCCCGAAGCTGGTTCCTGGCACTGACGCCCCACTTGTACCAGTCGCTTGGCTCCACTTCCTCCCACCCTCATCTGCAGGCAGCCAGACCTTGTCACTATTGCAATGGCCCCTCCCTGACTTCTCACCCTTCTCTAAGGACAGAGGGAGCAGGAGGGATGGGAACAGTGCAAGCTAAATTGCCCAGATTGCCGCTGCTGAAGCCAGGGTCCCCAGGAAGCCGAGGAGGCAGACACTGAGGCTGGTCAAATGTCACACACCCAGCCTCACCCTAGGAGCTTGGGAGGCTGCACTCTTCTTCGAATGCTGTTCTTTCAGCTAGACTGAAAGGTGTGGTTGTGGAAAGCGGCCAGGTAACTGTGATGCCCAGCTGGGGTGTGGGGGTCCCGCCGGGCACGTGAGAAGCACAACAGTCAGACCTCGACACTCAGATCTCTGGAGCTCTGTAATCTTGGGCAAGCCTCCTGCACCTCCTCATCTCTGAAACTAGGCTAACTCCACTAGCTTCTTATTAACCAGCCTGGGCCTCAGTTTCCCCATCTCTAAAATGGGAGCAATCGTCTCACTGGTGTCACCTCAGAGGGCTGTTGTGAAGATCCAGTGGCTCCTCAGCCTCCGGGGTCTGGAGCTGTGCCTGGCCTGCGCAGGGCATCCCCGGAGGCGTCCGGGCTCCGTGAAGCAGAGCCAGCCTCCGGATTCGGCAGAACCTCGGGAGGAAACAGCTTCCCACCTTCTTCGTTTAAAGAAGAACCAAATTAAGGCACTAAGTTTATACATTAATTTTGCTACAGACGGGAGAATTGAAATAGCTTTCTAAAAGGTATTTTTAAAAACTGCTTCTCAATGCTCCATTAAAGGGCTCTCTGCCTTGCCTCACAGTCTCTGCAGCTGCCAAAAATACTATGAAAATTACTCAAATGCAGTCTTCGCTGGCTCTGAAAGAATTTGCCAACTTGCTTCACACAGTCTAAATGCCAATCACGTGTGGTCTGAGACACCGGCGCTCTTTTGGATCAAGATGCTGATCCGGGGCTGCCTCCAAATGCGTCCCTGTGTTTAGAGGGACCCCAGGACCCCCTGTCCTGAAAGACCCCTTTTCTTCGTTTATGGAGCCCTCGTCATCAGCTCCATCCAAGTACCCTCTGCTCCCTGTCTCATGACCTAAGGTGTTTGGGGTGTCCCAGGCTCGGCCTTAGGTCTCTCTTCTTCGTTTCCTGGGTGATGCCCCAGAGGCTGACCCTTGACTCCTTCACTCCTGAACCACATCCCAACTTTACCGATTCCGAACCCATAGCACTCACTGCCTGCTGGATTGTCTACCCAGATAGCCAACAAGCACCTAGACTGCAATATGACCGAAGGGGGGCTCCTCATCCTGCCTGTTATCCACTGGGCCTCCCTTTCTGAGGACAAGAGCCTTCCACGAAGCTCTTCAAGCCCAGAAGCCATCCGTTGCCCTGAAGTCCTCTCTTCGCCTTAACTTCACGTCCAAACCATCAGCAATTTGTCAACCTTGTGTCAAAACAGTTCTCAGACCTCTGTCCTCTCTGCCCACCCTGGTCTGCTCTGGTTGTGGTCACCACCTTCTCTCGCCTAGACCCTGAGAGGCCCTTCCAGCAGCTCTGCAGGCCAACAGCCTGGACTCTTTGCAAACATCCACGTTGCCCATAGCAGCCAGAGGGAGCTTTTAAAACACATCAATCAGATCATGTCACTGCCCTGCTTGAAATGCCCCGAAGGCCTCCCTTGCGCTTTGAATAAAACCCACAAGCTAGGCCATGCGCCCAGGGCCACAGGGTCCCCTTGCTCACCAGCCCTGCCCCTGCTTCCTTTCTTTTTCCTTCCTCTCAGCCTTGGTGCCTTTGGCCCAGCTGGTCCCTCTGTCTGGAACATTCTTCCCCTAGGTCCTTACAAGGTTGCTTCCCTGCCACAGCTGAAATGCCACCTCCTCACAGTTCCCCCTTCCCTCCTTTTCTCCTTCCTTCCTCTTTCTTTCTCTTTCTTCTTTCTTTCTTTCTTTCTTTCTTTCTTTCTTTCTTTCTTTCTTTCTTTCTGCTTTCTTTCTTTCTTTCTTTCTTTTCCTTCCTTCCTTCCTTCCTCCT